TGATATAAAAGAGAATTCAAAGTCAGATGGGGGTGTGTGGTAACTGTGACATAAGTGGGAAAGGGGTGTGGTGCAAATGAGTTAACTTACACGTTGCTCCTAGTTTTGATTGTGTTGTAGAAAAGATCCCACTCTCGAGATGGAAGTGGTGAGATGAGTGCAATCGCAGGGATTAATGGCGATCTGGATAATTCCTTAGAAAGATGGATCTCCTCCTCAGATAGAACGTGACTCTCCATGTCTTTTGTCTCCGTTAGGTCAACAACTCCATCAGTATTTGGGTCAACTCCTTCAGTTTTTTGTTCCTAAAAGTATGAACATAATATATAAAAGGGTCAAAGAGGGAGTAGGAAAGCACTATGATGTTGAGGGAGAGTGTATTGTGGTTTTGTACCTTATGAGGTGGAGTGTTGGAGGAGGCTGTAGCTGTGAACGCATTAACGGTAGCAGCATGACCAGCGAAGCCCGACAAACTGTCTCTGCTCTTAGTGGGTGATGTAAGCAGTGTTGTAGGCTGCGGTGACAATATCAAGCAATTGCGTGGAGGAGAGGATGGAGGAATAGATGAATCAAAGATTGGTTGAGGAGAGGATGGAGGAATAGATGAATCAAAGATTGGTGGGTCTGGATTGACCGGATCATAAATCCTCACACCATGATAGAGGATGTGATTAATCTCGGGGCTGTTGGGGTGATCACTTTTATCGTAGATGGCGGATTTGAGTTCAGACCAAGGAGGTTGCACGCTGACTGGCGTAAGAGGTGGCTCGTCATAGGAATCTGAGTCCTCATTGGTGGGGGGGATCGTCTGACTAATCGGAGGTGGGTGATGTATGGTTTGTGGATCAACAGGGGAGTGGTGACCAGTCTCTTCCTTGTGGTCCGGAGATCTGTGCACAGTTAGATTGTGGATGCCTTCATTGTGGTCGGGAGAAATGTGGACACTTTTATTATTGTGGTTAGGTGAAACGTGGACACTCTGTGACTGGATGCAGGGATCGCTCAGAAGGGGATCAGCTGTAGCATCACGATGTAATTGAGCTTCGTATTGACTGATGACAGGGGAGCACGTTAGAGGAAACTCATCTGTCTCCATTCCGCCATCCTGAATATAAAAAGATATAGCAAGCTTTTTAGTTAAAATCAAGAGTACATGCAACTTAAAATCAGAAGAAAACCATTTGCTACAATTAAAATTTAGATCAAAAACACTATTTGGGAAAGTATTGAAAAAGTCAATTCACCTGATTATGAAGGCCATCGGTGTTGGGTGGTGTTGATTCAGGCATGTGGGGAGTTGTCTTGGACTTCTTGCGACGGGGAAGCATGGAGTAATGAAAAGATGATTGCCTATGATGAGAACGTTTCTTCCTACGTTTCATCTCCCGGCGGAGCTGCTTAATTTCCGTTGAAAGCTGGATCACAATCTCCGTAAGTTGAACATTTGTGAAGCTGTGGACGGTTGAACGCGTAAAGTAGGAACTTATACGCCTTTGATTCGATGAAGATGGTTGTTTTGGTTTCAAAGATTGCTTAATAGGAGGAGACTTCTTCTTAACCCGGACCCTTTTCTTTGGCTCGTTGATGAGAGGCTCAGATGTAACCCCACCATGCCACATTTGTTTGTTGAAGGAATGTTCATCAGCTATCAGTTGTTCCAAGTAGATAACACTGTCATCCTTGTCATCGTCATGCCACACTCCCCATCCTGGTTGTGCCTGACTTTCGATGGGTATAATAGGCGTGACTACCAACTGAGAAAAATTAAAAACAACTTAGTTTTATAAAATAATTATTCTTAGTAACTAGTGCTGAGAACCGCAATTGATATATGGTACTTACATCGGGGTCGAACTCCACGCGGCGGATGTCGATGGAATTGATTGAGGGGTGTTGTGGTAGATGACAATCTTCTAAGTCCATCACTGTAAGATTGTTTAATGGGGCTGGTATATAATCCAAAAGCTGAGGGATCGCACGAAATGCAACCAACTGAAGTGAGAGCGGGAAGCCTTGTAATCTGAAACTGCGCTGCTTGAGCTTCTTAACAAGTGTACCAACAGGATCTTCACATTTTTTGGGGACAAACTTTGGTGGTTTCATGCATGAAATGGTCTTGAGGAAAGACTCTCTACCCCAAGGAAAAGAAAAGAATGTTCCGAGGTTTTCAACCATCCTAACATAACGAGGAGTAGGACGTGGTTCTTGTTTGTGAGCAATAAGAACACCGTCGACTATGATAATCAGAGCGATCCGTATCTTCTTCCACCCATCCATGTTTCTGTCGCTATCGAGCATCGTACATAGTTCAGCAACGGTGACAATTTTTTTCTTCCCAAAAAGTCTCTTCCATACTCTGTCTTTCCCGGCAACAATTGCTTTACCGGTGTTGGGCTTGTATCCTCCCGGGAAGGAACCGCAAGGGAGACCGGTAACGGTCCCAAATTCCTCAAGACCATATCGTAAAGGAGAACCACCAAATACAGACCAAAGAGTATTCTTGGGAAGACACAATAGCTGACGAGTGAGAAACGAGTGAATCAGCTTACAAGACACTGGGCATTGACGAGCAGGGAGGTCGAAGAGCTTCCCAAAACAGGACTGACGGATGGTTTGAAACTCAGGCGTGTCGCGGAGGACGTTGCGGATAAATGGGAGAAGATCCGGGGAGGAGTAAATGTTGAGACGCTTGGTGGGGAACCTGTCTGTAGCGAAAAGTCTAGGAGGTAGACGGATGTCGGCTAAAGAAGTACCTACATTTGAAATCGCCGATGAGTATTGATTCTAGAAACTAAACTAAGAACGGTTTTGAAATGAAAAGTGAGTGTAGAGTAGAGTACGAAATACCTCCGATTTCGTTTTGTGGTGGCATTTGGTCCTTGGGTTTCTTGACTTTCTTCTTGATCTTCGGTTTCCTCATCTTTCGCGGCGGTGATTAAGAGACGGAGAGGATGTAAGCAGAGAGGCGGAGAGTTTGGGGCGGAGATGAGGAGAGAAATTAGGGTTGGGAATTGGGGGAAAATAGATCTAGTTTCGAAATGTAAATGTGTGTTTTTTTTTAACCAGAGAAACACGTGTGGTTAAAGGGAACTCTGGTTAGGTTAAGAATAAGGGCATCTATGACTTTGTGACCAGATAAAGTGTGTAAGATGGGGAAAGTGTCCCAAACCGTAAAAGAAAAGACATAATGTGTTCTAGAACGTAAATTTTTCATGTATATACTAACACATTTAGTTATATTTGGTACTGACTGAATATTAAAAAAATTCTATAAAAACTTTAAAAATCTTTAAAATTTCAAAACAAATGAAAAATAAAGAATTTTTTTATAAAATTAATTTTGAAATTAAAACTAAAATAAAATTTTATTTTTCTTTAAAAAATCAGACGGGAACTTATAAAATTTTATTTTTCTTTTAATGTATCTATTAACACATTTACTTATATTTGGTACTAATTGAATATAAAAAATCTATAAAAACATTAAAAAATATTTAAAATTTCAAAAAAAAATGAAAAAATAAAGATGTTTTTTATAAAATTAATTTTAAAATTAAAATAATTTCTTTTTTTCTTTAAACTAAAATTTTGGAAGATTTTTTGATTTTTTAAAGAAAAGAAAAATTATTTTAATTTTAATTTTAAAATTAATTTTATAAAAAAACTCTTTATTTTTTCATTTTTTGAAATTTTAAAGATTTTTTAAAGTTTTATAGAATTTTTTTTATATTCAATCAGTACCAAATATAAGTAAATGTGTTAGTAGATATATTGAAAGAAAAATAAAATTTTAAGANTTAATTTTAATTTTAAAATTAATTTTATAAAAAAACTCTTTATTTTTTCATTTTTTGAAATTTTAAAGATTTTTTAAAGTTTTATAGAATTTTTTTTATATTCAATCAGTACCAAATATAAGTAAATGTGTTAGTAGATATATTGAAAGAAAAATAAAATTTTAAGAGTTCCCGTCTGATTTTTTTAAAGAAAAAAAAAATTATTTTAATTTTAATTTCAGAATTAATTTTATAAAAAAACTCTTTATTTTTTTCATTTTTTGAAATTTAAAGATTTTTTAAAGTTTTTATAGAATTTTTTTATATTCAATAAGTACCAAATATAAGTAAATGTGTTAGTACGTACATTGAATGCGCCACTAGCCTAGTGGTAAACTACCTTGCAATTTAATCCGATTAACCCGGGTTCGAGTCCAGTGGTCTACGGCTTTTTATTTTCAAATCGCTTAAAACGACGTCGTTTCATCCTAACGGCAATAATTAACAACGTTAATTTTTTCTGTTAAATTTGTTGACGGCGTGCCAAATTGGCAAGTCAACAAAAACTTTGTTAATTAATTCAAAAGTCAATAAAAAGTTTATGTTTTTTTTGGTCATGCCAAAAGTTCAGGTTTCTTTGGGCAATTCGTGTAAAGTTCGTGTTTTTTTTGGCCGAATTCTCATTTTTAAAATAATGATATAGTTTAAGAAAAATTTAACCTCTATTCAAAACAAAATCTAATATTTTTAAAATAATGATTTTTAAAATAATCATATATTTATAACCTTTTTGAAACTATAAGCCAATTAAAAATTTAAAGTTTTAATCCCTAATTTATACATTTATTTATAAAAATTTAATATTTTATTCGTTTTAAAAGCAAATGCTTATTGCAACACTTGTTTGGGAAAATATTGTTGGGGATAATCAGAACTGTTGCCGTGGGAAACAAGGATGTCTTGTTTAAAACAAAACAATTCAAAAACATTACTACTCTGTTTTTGCCCTGTTTTATATATTTTGATATGCTTTCCAAATTTTATATCAAAGATCCTCCAGTGGCGAGAATGTGTTATTATTCCAGTCAACCTAAATGAATGCTAAATAACAGAGAGAATACTGGAAAAAAATTTTACAAGCATCAGGCAAATTTGCACATAGAGAATACTTACATCTCTAACGAGGGTCTAGATCTGTTATTGTCACGTCGTTAACAGAATAACTAATAGATCTTCCAGTAGATTGACTTGATTCTAGTAATCTACTTGATTCTAGTCCCTCAGATAGCTGCTCCAGTTCGTGCCTGCTCTGAGGGATGAAAGTTGGTAGCCGAGGCACTGGTAAAGTGATTGTGTTACTAGTGAGCATCAAGATGATAGTTGATAACATTGGACGGTCTTCTGGATTTTCCTGAACACATAAGAGCGCGATATGGATACATCTAGTGACTTCATTACTCTGATAATTTCTTCCAATGGCCAGATCCACCAGCTCTAGAGGTGACCCATTTTTCCACAGCCTCCAGGCCTAACACAATGAACAATCAAGAATATGAGTCATATGCTCAAATATGCTATTTAAAACAATATTGGTTGTTTTTCTTCACGCTCACATAAGTGACCAAGTTGCCATGAGTACTAGTTTCATCCATCTGGTAAACGCAGCTGTTTTTCTTGCCGCTTATAATCTCGAGAACTAAGACTCCAAAGCTGTAAATATCAGATTTCATGGAGTATTGACCATGCATTGCATACTCAGGAGACATGTAACCACTGAAAACATACAACTCAGGGTTAATATGACCTAAAAAAGAGGTTTAACAAACTTTGTGTGTTGTCAGCTATTGTGAGCAGAACTTACTGAGTTCCAGCAATTCTGCTGGTATTGCCTCGAGTTTGTTCCATTCCAAAGATCGTCGACAATCCAAAATCTGAAATCTTTGGGTTCATATTGGCATCTAAAAGAATGTTGCTGGCTTTGAGATCACGGTGTATAATTGTTAGCTGTGAATCTTGATGAAGATAAAGAATCCCTCTAGCAATGCCTCCAATAATTTTGTACCGCTGAGTCCAATCTAGACTTTGCCTTTTAGAGTCTGCTCATAGTATGTGGAAAATCAGTTTAAAGCTGAAGAAGAATCCTTCCAACAAGAAAACTATTTAAGGGAACCATACCAAATAGGAAATAGTTAAGGCTTTTGTTGGGGACAAACTCATAGATCAGAATCTTTTCCTCTCCTTCCAAACAAAATCCAAGAAGCCTGACTAGATTCCTGTGTTGAAGTTTTGAGACAAGAACAGCTTCGTTCTTGAACTCCCTTATTCCTTGTCCTGATTTTTTCGACAGTCGCTTCACAGCGACTTCAGTTCCATTTGATAGTATACCCTACATACCATTGAAAGAAACAAGCATTGCCAGTTATTCTCCGAACCTATAATATTTTTTTTTAAAGCTGAATTATACTATTACAATTATAAGGAATGTTACACATAAATAATCTATAGTAGTAACTTAGAAAAAATTTGAAAGAAGGGAACTTACCTTGTAAACCTCGCCAAATCCACCTTCACCAAGCTTGTTACTCCTTGAAAACTTGTTTGTTGCAGCTTCAATTGTCTTAAAGTCATATTGCGATGAATGCGTAGTCGTAATTATTAATGACAGGCCCAAGCCCACTTCGAAACCACTTCAAGTGTGGAGGCCCAAGTGCACAACTGAGCAAAACGACGCAGCACCATCAATCCCTGCTGCAATCCGTACCTGCAAACAAGACAAAGAGAACATTAACTCTCCCAACGTTAAAGGACAGCAGACAGCTTCTGTAAAAGCAAACTCAAGACCAAAGACAGC